GGGGGTGCAGGCACCCGGGGGCACGGGGTGCGGGTGCCCGGGGTGGTCAGCGAGTTGGGCGGAAAAATGGCCCGGGGGGGGGTCCGGGTGCCCGGGGGTAAGGGGTGCGGGTGCCCTGGGTGGTTAGGGGGGTTGGGCAAAACTTGCCCGGGGGTTGAAGTCCGGGTGCCGAGGGGTGGCCAATTTGGGCAGAAATTTTTGGGAAATGGAAGAAATTGATGGATTTCATGGTGGGAAGGGTGGGGATGGTTGGGGAGAGGCTAGATCCACTTGCCAAACAACAAATCCATGGACCAAAACAACAAGATCTCACAAGATCTAACAAATTGCAAGAAAAAAATTGGGGCTATTTTTGTGGGGATTTTCAAATTAGGACGAAAAACAATAAGATCAAGCTAGCAAATGGGGGGTAGGGACTCTGAGATGTGAATCAACCTGGCTCATGATACCAAGATGTTGTAGGGTGAAACCCTAGGGTTTAATCTTTTCACACTTGGAGGGGGAAAGGAGCAAGAACACAAGAACACACAAGGGAAATCACTCCAAACAAACCCAATCACACATCCACTAGAGTAGCAAACACATAGATCCACAAGAATACATGAACAATCAAATGAAACAAGCACTAAGGTAAAGTTCTTCCCACTCCTAGAAGAGGTGAGGTCTTGATGATCCTATGATGGGGATCCATCCCTAGATGGGGTCTTGAATCCACTAGGGATCTTCTCCATAGGAGGTCTTGATCTCCATGGGAGAGGTCTCTCTCTCAAGAGGAGGTACAAGGAGCAAAGCTCAACTAAATCATGTCATATACTTTGTTATCCTCTAAATGAGCTAGGTGAGGGGTACTTATAGTCTAGGGACGAAAATGGGGGAAAACAGGGGTACATGGGTCTTTTGACCCTACTGCACGCAGGCACAAACCGAACGTGTCCGAGCACCCGGAGCAAAGGGGTCCGGGCACCCGGGGGTAGGTGGGCGGGCACCCGGGCTGTTCAAAAGAGGTCGGGCCTCCGCAGGTGTAGGGTCCAAGCACCCAGGGGTGGTGGCCCGGGCACCCGCGGGCGAGGGCCAGTGCCCAAGCGAGGCAGGCCAGGCACCCGGGGCAGCGGCGCTGCGCCAGGCTGGAGGGGTCGGGCACCCGGGGTGACCAGGGTCGGTTCCCAGCCGGTGGCCGGGCACCCGGGGGCGTAGGGGTCCGGGCTCCCGGGGTGTCCAGAGCTCCTACTCTCCATGCGTTGTGTGTCCTTCTTCCTCCTCTCTCTTCGTAGATGTTTGGGTCTCCTTCCTACCTTCTTCATGGGAAACTCCTTGGTACCTAAGAGGCACAACGTTTCCATTTGAGGTAGGACCCATCTCTCATGTGAATCTGAATGAAGTTCGGAGAGGAAAGAATTAACCTCGGTTTCGATGGCGCGTGCTCTTGTCATTGGTCCATCTCGTGCTTGATTAGTTGTAGTAGAGTCCATGGGGATGATGGAGGGATGCTCCGCATCACTCTTCTAAACTAGTAAACATCAGGAAAGCACGTCTTCCAACAAATTGATACCATTGTATGGCCTTTCTCTTCCTTGACCTGGACTTTATCATACTTGAGGGAACAAAGAACACCACTTCATCATCTGAATCCTTAACTTGTATTGTGTTTATATTTTCATCAGATGAGGGCAAGTAGTCAGTCTCAAGTGTTTTTTGTGAACTGGAATGAGATCTAGTAGTTGGGCCTATTCTCACAGGTAATTTCTACAAAGGCTCTGGTTGAACAAAGCCATCCTCCTCCTCCTTCTCAGACTCACATGAAGTCTTCTGGCTCTGTATCACCTTCAGAATCTCTCATCCTCTTAAGACCCTTGATTGTTTGGTTCAGTTCTACATCCTCTTCCTCCCCATGTCATACTCAGATCTGAACTTCCATCATCATCTTCTGAAAGCATTGTCACTCTTTTCTCCATATACTGCTTCTCCGTATTCTCCCTTCTTCAGATACCTCTTCCTTGATACATTGCTCTCATATCATCAACAAACTCACTTAAAAAAACATCTATCTCATTCACCTCTAGAATCTCCTTCCCCTTTCTCAAATTACAGCTCTCTTGAGTGAAATGATACTCTATTTGTGAGTGTTGTGTTTATTGTAACAAGAGGAGCAGACCACTCTCTTGTTTACTACAATGACTCAGATACAATACACCGATCAATCTCATATACAAGAGGTTGTCCAATTTCTGAAATTGAAACTTGCTTTTCACATCCATCTCCAATGTTGAGTGAACATCTGATTTCGTTTTTGTTCTTCATTTCATAACAATGATTGTAACACACATCTTCTCCACATATAACTGCAACACTTCTTCTACATTTTTCATTGATTTTATGAGCTCCTTCCCAGCCAAATTGCCATACCTACACCCTCTTCTTTCACATCATACATGGAGTCATGATCATATCCCTCTGTCCCAATTAAAGGTAACATATTCGCATAGGTTATATATCAGAATGACATAGTCCTTTCAGATCGTCACAACCTTGGAAATGGAACCTAGCATCCAATATCTCATCATACAAGCTGCAAGCAAATTAAGGAAAATAATTCACAAACCCTACTTCCTAAATTGCACCTATTTCAGAAACCCTAGTTCCTAAATTTGAACTAATTGCAAAGCCCTAGTTCCTAAATTTGAACTAATTTCAAAGCCCTAATTCCTAAATTTGAACTAATTGAGAAAACATAATTCCTAAATAGCACTAACAACAACGCCAATCCCCTAAATTTCTTATACCTAATGCACAGTTCCTAAAATGCACTAACAGCAGGACCAATTTGTACTAACAGCAAACAAATGAGATAATGCAATAGGGGGAGGGGTAGAACTCACTCAACGTCGCCCGCCCAGACCGGAAGTTAAGTTATGGATGTGCCAATCTGGCTGTCGTCGATGATTCGACGTTGACTTCAAAAATCGAGCGATCAACGTTTTTCGCAAACTATCAAGAAGAAACTGGATGGTTTTTATAAGGTGGTGATTTTTTTATTTATGGCTCGCAATTGTGGTGAATTTTTTGCAATTTATTCGTGTAGGTTGTGGTACCACACCAACAGATCTTTTCCCTTCTAGGCTTGAAGCATCCACACTAGGATGGCATGGCATAGACTGCAGCCGTATCCACCACCACAAACGAGAAACCACATATAGTACTTGGTTTTTAGAAAAGGAGGGAGACCCCCGGCCTCTGCATCTGAACGATGCATGCAGCCACTTTATTAATTATTCACATAAGACCTTACAAAGTCATACAACAGTAAGTCGAAGCCACCATCTAGGCAACAAAAGTGTCGCTACTCCTATCAAATGATGAAGGGATGCTGATAGTTTGGGCCTAATATCAAACAGACCTCACAGCCATACCTAACATCTAAGACCTGAGGTCCCAACCAGGACGCCTACCGGGTATGGGCACCCACCAGTCCGGCGTGCTCCTCAACCAGGATGTCTGCCGAGTATGAAGCCGCCGCAGCCACCTGCCACCAATCCATCTTCAGAGTTGTACTGTTGCGTGAACCTTGCTCGGTCTAGCTGCCGCCGGCGCCACCACGATGCCAGACAGCGTCGACCTCCTGCGCGAGTCCATCATCGCACATCAGACGCCTAATCTCTAGAGCGTCGTGCCATCGAGATCCGACACCATCAATGTGTGTGATGAAGCATCGCTCCTACTCTTGTCACCTTCAGCCATCATTTGCTCCAAAACGATGCCCTCGTGAGGGAAAGCGCTACTAAGAACGCCATCATCGTCCGATCCGGGAGACCCAGATCTAGGGTTTCCCCCGAAGCATCCCGAGCCTGATGAAGCAAACTGCAACGACGATGCCTCGACAAAGGAGCGGCATCTAAGACGTCGCCATCGTCCACCATGACCGTAGTCGGCGCTATTTTCATCGACAGTTGCTCCACCAGACGTGTGCCGCCAGCGTCGCTGATCCCTTCAACCGGAGTAAGCTCCAAAACGATGCCCAGAAGAGGGGTTACAATGCAAAAGCACCGGCATCGCTCGATCGCAAGGAGATCTAGGGTTTCCCCCGGAGTTGCCCGTGTTGTAAGGACCAGACAAGGGAAGAATCTCTGCGGATCCGCCCAGCTGCAGACGAGCCGCACCCACCATCGTCGACGGCAATCCAGTAACCAAGGCCCACGCCTGAACCAAGATCCGACCGTGCCGTTGCAAACCCATCTGGTCACGCCGCCGCCATCCCTGGCGACCGCGACACACCAAACCATGAAGCCTCCTGCCGCGAGGGAAGAGAACCGCCGAAGCGCCGCCACCACCCGTCGTGGCGTCCGGCCCGACGCCATGAAGCCTCCTGCCGCGAGGGAAGAGAACCGCCGAAGCGCCGCCACCACCCGTCGTGGCGTCCGGCCCGACGCCACGCTCCGAACCGGGGGCGCCGGCCCGCGCCAGCCCCACACGAACGGGAGGACCACAAGTCTCCGCCGCCACCAGCAACGGCAAGGCTTCGCCTGGCTGTGCCCTTGGGCAGCGGCAAGGAAGGAGGAGGAGAGGTGGAGACCAGCGGCGATGGGATCTCGGAGCCTCCCGGCCGCCACCGGCGGCCACATATAGTACTTACCTACAGTAAAATCAACTAGCCACGAAACTCGATCACGTAATCCTCATCCATCATTCGGAGCAGCAGCACTTTCAGAGCACAACCATTTCAGAGACCAGAGATGGTGTCCAAACTCAGATAGATATATTTAGCTGCTGATGTTCTATACAAAAAGGCAATCAATCCACCCTCCCACGGTCCCAGGGTAAAGCTTGTACTTCCAACCAACCATATATATTCAGTCTAGCGTCATATGCCGCATAACTAGGGGGGCTATTATGCTATCTAGAGTCGTCTCCAGCACCGGCACGGCAGATTGGTTCGGTGCGGTGCGGCAAAAGGCGCTCGCTCATCCACCACGGTTACGGTTCAGAGCAAGCGGCGGTGGGACGGTTCATTTCCACAGCTTCACGTGCTTGTCATGGCTCACTGAAGCCACCAGGCCGGAGCTTGAGGAGGCCAAGGCAGAGATGAGGCCGTCGTGCGCCGCGACGGTCATGCTCCTGTTCTCCACCATGTCCCACAGCTCCAGAGACTGCAGTGTTGGACACCAAACACTTGTAAGTCAACAGCGTGAATATCTTAGGGGGAAAATTAATGATCCTGTCTATCCTTATCATCAATTAAATATATCTTAGCAGGAAATCCAGTGATCATGTCTATTCTTATAGACATTAAAATAATAGTATCCAATTGTAGTTGAGAACATTTCATTTGCAACTACATTTGAAGCTAAAATTGCAGTTGAAATTCTAGGTCATGCTTGTATTAAAAGGATGAGAATTTCCAACGCAAGCTAAAATTTTAGTTGAGATCATTTCATTTGCAATCACATTTTATAGTCCTTTGCAATTTACTTTCAGACGTGTCATGGCCGTAAAACGCTGTTACGCGCTAAAAACACTTGCCTGGTAGCAACCAATGATGAGCAAAGATGGATACTTAGGGTGGAAAGCACATGCATGAAACTTGCTCCCGGTGCTGTTGAGCTCTTGCACGCAGTTCTCATTCCCAGAATTCACAGACCATACTTTTACCGTGTCTTCACTGGTAGAGACAACATAGTCACCAGTGGGGCTCCAACAAAGTGAATCAACGTGCTCTGTGTGACCCTGCAAAATTACCAAGATAGGGTTGAAGTTTTCATTTGTCATGACTCATGACCTAGGGAATTTTCAATTACTAGACAAGTAAATTCTTATTACAGCAGCAACCTGAGCACTTGAGAGAATACTCAGGCAAGACCAATTTGTCATAAATGCAAGTGGATCTCAAAAGGTTGAGTAAACAATTAAACAAGGAAGTAGACACCGAGATTACATCCTGATGCCACTTAGTGAACTAAACATAAGCAGATTATCTGCATCCAGTTGTGATGTAGAAATATAGAGGTTAGGGCCATCCAATACAAACCTCAAATATCCTAACACAAGCTTGTGTTTCCACATCCAGTATAGATACAACATTCTCTGAAGCTGCTGCAAGAAATCCACCAAGACGTGGCTGAAATCTCAGCTGGCTTGAACCTCCCTACACAGGCATTACAAGTAAATAAATCAACAAACAGATGATCTGCAAGTGATCTCATTTAAAACCATCTGATGCTTGTGCCGGTGGCATCTCGCTACTTTCAGAACAAAATTGTATGGACAAAGCAAAGCTACTAGAGATCAACAGAATGCTCAGTAAGCAAAGTTTAGTAACCTTGAAATTTCGGACAGCCCTTCCGTTGCTGATACTCCAGAGCCGAATCTCACCATTCCCATCACAAGAACAAATGAGGTCATCCTTGTTTGGGTGAAAATCCACCGACATAACAGATGCTGAGTGCCCAGTAAACGTATGGACTGTATCATCTTGCTGGAAAAAACATTGCAGGAGCCGAATGTTAATGGCATGTTTATATAGTAAAACATATAACTTTGCTGCATTTGTAACTCTTAAGAAAACAAGGATAGACATCTCCCAAGCATCCAAATCAAATTAGAACCATCATACATACACCCCAGAACAAATAAGAAACAATTCCTAGACGAAGAATTTGTGCCGTGTGAAGGAATCTCAGAACTGATGTTGGGGGTGGTGGGACCTTTCATGACAGGTAGCCTTGCCATGGACATTGCTTAAACTGCTCTCTTTTGTGAGTTTCACAGCCTAATTAACTAGGCTTTCCAGTTTCAGCATAAAAGGTAACTGCGATGGCATTAACATCTGAGTTACGAATAAAAAATAGCAATTTGATATTATCATTCGATGTTACTTGACAGAGTTGTGCAATGTAAGATAGGCAAATCACAAGGAAGCAGATGGGTAAGCAAAAGTTGGAGCGTTGACAAACCGCACAGGCTTACTTACATTGTCGACATCCCAGACCCTGACAGTTTTGTCAAATGATGATGTAGCAATACGTGGGATGCTTGGGCCGAACCGTACATCGGTTATCAGAAGAGAATGCTCCTCCAATACTGCCTTTTGTTTTAAAGTTTCAGCATTCCACAATACCACCTGCATTGAAACATAACAGTTGTACATTTCAGTTTCAACACCAATTTTGGATGCAAATCTCCAGAACTCAGACAATATCCCTTCGACTGAGCAGCCTGGTTAGTATGAACATGCATGTTTACCTTCTTATCATGACCCCCAGTAGCAAGTAGATTTCCATCTGATGAGAAGTGACAACATACAACCTTGTTGGTGCTTGCTCGAGCTGAAGAAATCTCTCGGAAGGCGAATCCTGTGTAAAACATACACAAAAGGTTAAATATGAAACAAACTTATGATACAACTTTCAAGTAAACAATGTAAATATAACCCAATGAACCAGCATACTACTTCGACACCTGTTAGGTTTTCACTAAAAAAGGGACCAGGGTCTGTACACCTCACGGTTTCCATGCTAACCACAACCTAGTTCAGTTTACCCGATTGGGACCTGTGGATACTACACTGGTAACCCAGGGAACCAGTGCCAATAATTGGTGTAAGCCTTTGGTACTAAACTGCTAGACCAAAGAATCGCACCTTTAGAAGAAGCCATACAACGGCTGCGGGCATCACTTGGACCTGCAGCATCATCATGTGACAAGAACGAGTCCACGTTATCTCCCAAGCTGTCATCCTCCACCAAGCGATCCATGTCAGCCTACAGAAGTCAGGGCACAAAAGGATCAAGCAATAAACAAGGCACAAAAGGATCAACCAATATAACAGAGATGGGCTAATAATAGTAGTTGTGCGTCCAAATACTTCCAAAGTACTACTACCTCCGTTCGGATTTACTTGTCACAAAAATGGATGTATCTACAACTAAAATACATCTAGATACATTCATTTCTTGGACGAGTAATTCCGAATGGAGGGAGTAGTAAACAATAACTTACAATCTGGTTTGTTGGCGATTCCCTCGTGCCTGGGGCATCAGCACCAAAAACAACTAAGGCCTTCGATATACTAGCATTGTGGTGCATCGGTGGCATTGATATGGTGTCTCCTGGAGTATCTGTGGAAGGAGTTGAGGGTGCTGAGCTGGGGCAGGGGCCAGTAGTATTCATAGTACCAGAGCTGTTAGCTGGACCGGATGACGAGATAGGTTGTTTGCGTTTTCGCCCATTTTGATTCTTGGAAACCTGCAAAACCATATCAGAGTTTGGGGTTTACAAACTTATGGAAACTCGAAGATTCAACAAAACGCAATTAAGATGTGAAGATGATAAAGTTGGATCATGCAGAACAGAGTAAAACCTGTTCATTTCCACGAAAGGAATAGCACAAGCTTCCATCCATAGAAACACTCCCAGGCACCATTTTTTCATGATGGCCTGAGAAGTGATTTGAGCTTTGTGGTAGCTGACTCAGTAATGATTGTTGAAGGAGCTGTTGCTGATTGCTGCTTTGCCGTTGCTGTTGTAAAGCAGCTATCTTCTACTACAAAGAGGGGAAGTGGTGAGGGTTTCTATTAAGATACAAAACACCGTAAATGGTAGCGCTAGGGTATATCTGAGCAAGCATAACGTAACAGCTAGATGATCATGTGATCATGCAAACTTCCGGACTGACAAAGAGCTCATGGTAAGTGGTACTGGATAGCTGCTAAGAATATCATTAAGTACTTGAAAACAATAAGGATGTGTTAGCTAGATGATCATGTGATCATGCAAACTTCCAGACTGACAAAGAGCTGATGGTAAGTGCTACTGGACAGCTGTTAAGAATATATTAAGTACTTGAAAACAATAAGGATGTGTTCTTACTCTATTAAGGTCAGGATGAACTCGTGGTAAGTAGCTCCACCGACGCGAACTTCTACTCTCAAAGATGATTATTGTTCGCGATTTGAATTTGTATTTATTTTGAATGGAGGTGCACTAAGTTGTACAGGTTTAAAGTGATTCTAATACGGAGGCCAAGCACATTGAGATTTGAAGCTACAAAAGGAAGTGTTTGGATAAGGCAATTCATTGTTGAACTATAGGAATGCAAAAGATATTTTTAACCAAGGAATGAATTGAGCCTTCATGTGCTAATGTCAGAGATCCAAACAGTATATCTTTGTGTATGCAAATAGCATGTAGCCGCTTTCCTCTATTTATTTTTTGTAACAACATTTCCTTTGATGTCAGAGCTAAGACCTCTAATGTTCCAGTTCAGAAAATTCCATCTCCAGTTTGTGGTATCCATGGTAGGTTAGGTAGATTGAAAGAAGCTGGAGGTAGCACACTATGCTCTAAGGTGGGCAGTCCTGAAGGTGGGTGCCGGCAAAGAGGGAAGGAGTCCATTGAAATGATAGGCAAGGTTTGGCAATGACATAAAGACAGCAAACCAGCTCAACAGTTAGTTATAACAAATTATGACACTACATGTCAAATGCAGAAACAAACAAAGCTTAGATGTCGGGTCAAAGAGACCCCAGGAGCTGCAGATTAGTGAACGTCTTCACTGGTCACGGCAGCAGCCTCCTCAGGTGGCACGCTGCAACAATAATTTGCCAAGCTTTTGATGGATGTCGATGGGGAGTTCTGGGGGTGATTGCTAATTGAAAACTTCTCTGCTACTTATTTTATAATCAAGCTAGAAATAGGTTTTGGCAGGAGATTGCCCACTCTTGAAGAGTCAGCTCTTGACTGGCGAGGCAGAGGTCGGTTTGAACACACTGACTCTGGGCTTGGCAAAGTGCCGCTTGTAGACTAGCAGAGGCC